TGCGTATATGTGTGTATATATATATACACACATGTTATATACCGCTGTGTCATAAAAATATATATATCACAGTGAACCTGAACGCTGGAAGATTCAGGACAGAGAAAGGGGGTATCTTTTTCACACAGTGCATAGTTTAACTATGGAACTCACTGCCTCAAAGATGTGGGCATGGCTGCTCCCTTGAATGGCTTTAGAAGAGTCTATAAGTGATAGAGAACAATGCGCTCAGTAGCCACTTTGCTCCATCTTGCCCTGTTCTCTGCTCCCATGGCTCCCATTGGGCCAAGTGATCCAGTAGCAGGGAGGAAGCACTTGAGGAGAAGGGCAGGCAGCATGGGAGCAGTCTGGCTGCTAGGCAGGAAGTGGGCAGGAAGCGATAGGGGAGTTGGCTGACTTGGGCCACTGCTGCCTGCCCTTATTTTTCCTGTCGGCCGTCTTTGCATATTGCTGCTGCTTGCATTTTGAATGCGGTTAAGGACAGGTGTCCTCCCATAAGTTGGGGCTCATGCCTGCGGACCCTTTCTTAATCTTTTCAGTGGCCAGCCCTTAGCTGAGCAGCTGTGGGATTTCAGAACCTGCCTTTATAACGACTGTAAATTCTATGTCTTGATTCAGCCTCTCTCTGGTACTAGAGAAAATGCTTTGTTTGCTTGCTTCAGTTACATTTCCATCTCTGCAGAGCTCTAGGAGGCAAACATGGTTCTCCCCCATCTCCTTTAAGCCCCCCACGACAGCCCTGTGAGGTAGATTAGGCCGAGAGGCGGTGAGTGGTTCAAGCTCACCCAGTGAGCTTCATGGCTGAGTGGGGATTTGAACCCTGTTCTCCCAGGCCGACCCTCTAACCACTACACCACACTGGCTGTCTCACACGGTCTTTGTTGGTAGACCTGGACCTGCCGTGCTAGCGCCACAAAGGTCTTTTAACCAGTGTTAGAAATTAGCCTGGTGCCAGGCGTGTTTTGCAACATGCTAGCTGTTGGAACTGCCCTTCTGCCCATGGTAACTTCCTTTGCCAAAATAGCAAAAAGTCATATTTCTGTGCTCTCTGCACCTTCTGAGCATCATGGACTCCTTGCACACATTCATCCTTGTTGCATTTCCTCTCTTCTCTGTCTGTCCTCCCCCTCCCCCCTTTTTTTTTTTTTGCAATTCCCCCATTGGGATTCCCCCACTGGAAAACCAAACTCCACCCTCACCCCAGTACTAATAGCAGCAGCCTGGCGTCTGCTTGCTTTCTATTTAAATTGGTCCCTCTCCAATGTGGTATAATAATTAGGTTGCCTCAGACCAGTAGAATCAGCTAGTTGCTGCAAGCTGGGAATTAGTGCTCCTCTTTCTTTGTAGGAACGCTAAAGGAAATGTCTCCCTTCCTTTTGCTCAACCAGGTGCGTTGCGTTCTCTTTGAACTTAAAACTCGCTAGTAGCAACCTGCTTCAGCATTTAAGATCTGCTGCTAGCAACTTCAGCTGGACCGACTTGGTGCCTTTTGCCGTATTTCCATAGGTGTCTCTCATCTTGAACTGCTTGACCACCACCTTGTTATCACAGAGATCCTTTACCTGTGTTCACTGGCAGAAACTTGCAGCAAAGCTGCTCTGACCTCCCACTCTCCCCCCCTCCTCCCCCCCCCCAAAAAAAACCTGCTGCTTCAGCAGACATGTTTCTCTGCAGGGTTGGGCTGAAAGTCATATAGAAACATGTAGCAATCCATCAAGCAGTCAGTCCTAAAGCCTGCCCTGATAAGATCAGGCCTTTTCCCTTTGCTTTGGCTGCTAGCCAGGTTGGTAGCAAACATCTCTCAAGAGAAACACTGTATTCTTGAACCACTTGTGTTCTTTGATAATAAGAACGTACAGCCTGTGGCATGTATGTCTCAAGGCAACTTTTCCAGTGGGTTGTCGACAAGTGGTGGAGCCAGTGGTTGAAACTCAGGAACAGTGGTGCCTCACAAGACGAAATTAATTCGTTCCGCAAGTTTTTTCTTCTTGCGAGTTTTTCGTCTTGCGAAGCACGGTTTCCCATAGGAATGCATTGAAAATCAATTAATGCGTTCCTAGGGAAACCGCTTGCCAGGCTGGCGGTGCGGAGAAGGGCTTTTCTCCCCACCGCAAGCCTTCAGCACAGGTACGGGAACAGAGGGGAAGGCGCGCAGCGCTTTCCCTCTGTTCCCGGGGCTTGCGTGGGAGGAGGGTTTTTCCTCCCCACCGCCAACATTCAGAACAGCATTCTGAATGTTGGCGGTGGGAAGGAAAACCCTTCTCCCACCCCAAGTCTTCAGGACAGCCATCCGAAGGCTGGCGCGGGGAGAAGGTCTCTCCGCCCCCCCCCCCACGCCAGGCTTCGGTGCATCCTTCAGAGGCTGCTGCCATAGTCACGCGTCACTTCTCCAGCTGGGAGAGGGTCGCGGGGGGCTGGTTTAGCCCCACGCGCGCTCTCCCGGCTGGAGAGGTGACGCGCGCCTATGGAGGCTCCTGCCATAGGCGCGCGTCACATCTCCAGCCGGGAGAGGGTCGCGGGGGGCTGGTTTAGCCCCGCGCGCGCTCTCCCGGCTGGAGAGGTGACGCGCGCCTATGGAGGCTCCTGCCATAGGCGCGCGTCACATCTCCAGCCGGGAGAGGGTCGCGGGGGGCTGCTTTAGCCCCGCGCGCGCTCTCCCGGCTGGAGAGGTGACGCTCGGCTATGGAGGCTCCTGCCATAGGCGCGCGTCACCTCTCCAGCCGGGAGAGGGTCGCGGCAGGCTGCTTTAGCTTCTTTAACTTCGGAGCATCCTTCTGAAGCCTGGCGGCAGGAAGAGGTCTCTCCGCCCCGCCGCCTCGGAGGAGGTCCGAGGACAGTGGGGAAGACGCGCTGCGCTTCCCCGCTGTCCCGGAGATTTCCCTATGGGCTTTCGTCTTGCGAAGCAAGCCCATAGGGAAATTCGTTTTGCGAAGCGCCTCCAAAACGGAAAACCCTTTCGTCTAGCGGGTTTTCCGTCTTGCGAGGCGTTCGTCTTGCGGGGTACCACTGTATATAAGCTAGGTGCCAAGTGGCACCTTAAACCTAGGTTACGGTTGCTACAGCAAGACCCTCTTGGTGCCTTCCAGTGCTACAGGTCTATGATCTCGTCTACATTGCTTGCCACTTGCTCTTTCAATAATTCACTTGTCCCAGTATGCAAGGAGGAGAAATAGACACAGTGGAAATGGTATTAAAGCAGAGGTTTTAAAACTGTGGTTGCGAACCCGGCACCCAGAAATCTCCACATAGTCCCGTACCAGTCGCAAAAAGCGCATGGCACCTGGCTAATACCTAACACTGAGTGAGAAGGGCAGCAGGAGTGAATTTCTTCTTCCCCTTTTCTGTCCTCGGCCTGGTTAACAAAATGAACTCGGCCTGTCCATGCACTGAGATCAGCAGAGGAAGCCCTGTTTTGGTTTAAAGTTAAACCATGAACCATGGCTTAATAAACTAGAATATGAACAATCAACATGTACCTGCAAGCAGCTGCCTTGTTCTACACAAGCGAGGAAACGAGCCAAGCAGTTGCTCTTAACCATAGTTTGGTGTTACATCAAAATTAGGAAACTATGGTTAACAGCTTCAAAACGTGAGGATTTGCATGCCAGCTTTAAACCACGATAGAAGTTTATAGAGTTATGCATGGCATGAAGAAAGTGGATAGAATTCTCCCCCCCCCCACGCCCTCTGTCACTGGAACTTGTAGACATCCAATGTGGCTGGAAGTTAGAAGAGCCAGGGCAGATTTTTTTAAAAAGGTACTTTTTCTTGCAGCGCAGTTAACTGTGGAACTCACTTCCACAAGAGGCAGCAATGGCCACCAACTTTGATGGCTTTAAAACAATATTAGACAAATACCTGGAGGAAAAGGCTTTCGGTGGCTACTGGCCATTAGGGCTATGTTCTTCCTCCACTCTCAGAGGCATTAAATTGCTGGAAATTGCAGGTGGACAGATTGATGTTGTGCTCATGCCCAGCTTGCAGGTTTCCCACTGGCATCCAGTTGGCTGCTGTGAGGTCAGGAAACTGGCCTGGCTCATGTTCTTATGACACAGGTGTCTTTTGTTGAATTATTCTATTATCTCACTGTATTTCTGCCCCACTTTTCTATGAACTATTTTCACAGCAGCTAACAGTCTGAAAGGTGGTCATACTTGAACAGAGGAAAACCAGAGAGAAGCTCCCGTGAGCTGCTCTTAAATTAGGAATCTGCCGTACACCAGGTCAGACCACTTGGCCAGTATTGTCTCGGTCAGTATAGTTCACACTGATGGGCAGTGGCTCTCCAGGCAGAGGAGACTCCCAGCCCTACCTGGAGATGCCAGGGATTGAACCTGGAGCCTTTTGCAGGCATTGTAGTTTCTCTGCCATTGAGCTGCAGAGAGGGCTCTTCCCCAAGGCTCTAATCATCAAGAAGTTCAACTCTACTCATTTGGGTCCAAATAGAGACAATGGTATGGTTTCCCACTGCAGATGTTCTTTAACTCAGCAACGCCAAGCTGATTGTTTTGTCACCTACATATCTTAGTGGCCACCTGTTGGCTTGTGCCCTGTTCTGTTCTTTGAGGCCAAGGGACGCTGGTGGTGCTGTGGTCCAAGCCACTGAGCCTCTTGGGCTTGCTGATCAGAAGGTCGGCGGTTCAAATCCACACGATGGTGGTGAGGTCCCGTTGCTCTGTCCCAGCTCCTGCCAACCTAGCAGTTCGGAAGTGCAAGTAGATAAATAGGTACCACTGTGGTGGGAAGGTGAACGGTGTTTCTGTGCACTCTGGTTTCTGTCACAGTGTCCTGTTGCACCAGATGCGGCTCAGTCATGCTGGTTGCATGACCCAGAAAGCTGTCTGTGGACAAACGCTGGCTTCCTCGGCCTGAAGCGAGATGAGCGCGGCACCCCATAGTCACCTTTGATTGGACTTAACTGTCCAGGGGTCTTTTACCTTTTGCCTTTTAGCTCCTGTTGGTAACTTAACCATGGCAATCTTTCTCTCCCTTCTTTCTAGGCCAAAAGGAAGCTGGATCTGGAAGGAACAGGCCAGCAGTGCATCCCAGAGTTCCGAACCCCAAAGGGCAAAGGAAGGACGCTCCCACACATCCCCAGTCCCAAGAGTAAGTGGAAGCAGAAGTCCTGGGTGGAGAAAAGATTGCATTCTTTTATTTTTAGTTGCCATTTTTTTAAATCTTAAAATCAAGTTTCTAGCCCTTATGACTGATTAGCTTGGAAGTCATGTGGGCAGCATCCTGGAAAGCTGAGAAGCTAAAGGTGTGTGTACTGATGAAATGGAAAAAGTTAACTCAATGTACAAAGTCACTTTTTAACACGCGTGTGGCTGTACTGTATTGCAAATCATAGAATTGTAGAGTTGGAAGGGACCCTGAGGGTCATCTAGTTCAACCCTCTGCATCTAGTTCAACCCTCTTTTGCCCAATGTGAGGCTCGAACCAACGACCCTGAGATGAAGAACGCCAGTATATGTCACTGCAGGGTGTGGAAGAAGAGAGATCAAAACCTACAGGTGGATTGGTGGGTGGTTTGTGAGTGTTTAATAACAGGGATAACAGAAAGCTGGTTTCCCCCACCCCTTGTCTAAATTAGGCTGTTAGAATCTCTGGTCTGTAGTAACTCAGATGCAGATTTATGCCTGCAGGTGCAGGTCACTCCAGTGTATGGCAGCAAGTAGATGTTTGGCTGCTCCCCGCAAGCTACCATTTCCCACCTAGCCCCGCCCCTGCTGTGATTTTGCACCTGGCAGGGAAATTGCAGCGCTCTTTCCTCGGCGTCTCTCTGTTGAAAGGCACTTCCCTTCCCATCCGTAGCAGAAGGAAGAGGAGGCAGTGATGGCAAAGGAGCAAGCAAATGGGGAAAGCAAGCACTCCTTCCTTGGGCAACTAGATAGAGGGCACTTTCCAAAAAAAAGTGAGGGGAATCCTGTGGCCAGCTAGTAGGAGATGCCATCTGCCAGCGTTGAGTCAGGGAAGTCTTGCATTACTTTCTTGTAGCACACAAGCGGCTTAGATCTTGGCAGATCTTAGGAAGTTGCTTTCGCAGAGTGAGGCTATTGGGCAGTGAGTGAGGGGCAGCTGCCTTTCCCCCTCCACATACAACTGTCCTTCCTATTGGGACATTTTATAGGACATTTTATAAGGGCCGAGCGAGAGGCTTGTTGTAGCTTGAAGCAGCAGCAGAGCTTGTCCCATTTTAAAATGAAAGGGTTTATATTCTCTCCTGCCACCTTTCAATGGGAAGCTACCAGGGCCCCGTCAAAATTTACAAGAATTCAGTTACAAGAATTCTGTGTGCAGGCTATGGCAAATCTTCTCTTTTGCATTTTTAGCCCCTAAGTCACCTGGGGAGAAGACCCGCTACGACACGTCGCTCGGCCTGCTAACCAAGAAGTTCATCCACTTGCTCAGCGAGTCGGAGGATGGTGTGTTGGACCTGAACCGGGCTGCCGAGGTGCTGGATGTCCAGAAGCGGCGCATCTACGATATCACCAATGTCCTGGAGGGGATTCAGCTCATTCGGAAGAAATCCAAAAACAACATTCAATGGATGTAAGTGCGTTGGGGAACTGGGAGCAGACCCACGCTGCCCGGTGCCTTAGCTGCTGGACCCCTGGTGAAAAATGACAGCTAAGGGAATTGCAGCCTTGCGCAGTGAGGTTGGCAGGATACGATAGGGACAAGAATAATAACCCTCCCCTTTCTCCCCAAAAGGGCTAGAAACATCATTAGGGGAATACATTACACCATCATTGTTTTGTGAGTATGTGGTGGTGCTGTCGTTTGAGAAAGTTATCAACAGATGCCATATTTCAATAGTCATCCAAGTTTCACCCAATACGGCAACCTTGGTTTGGACATAATTTACTTTTAGGTCTTCTTTTCTTTATCTTTTTTTACACAGTTGACCAAATTTGACCAACATCCTTCTAAGTCCAGTTTTGTTCAAAGAGAGCGCACAACTAGGTCATCGGCGTAAAGCAGAATGAACACTTGCCAAGAGAGGGAGAAAAGTCCCAAGTCCCATTCAGGACTTTAATGCGTTTGGCCAATTTCTCTACCAGCGGCACTGTCCATACCATTTGTCTCTTTAGTGAAAGCTGCAGAAGATCCAAGTTTTAACTTCTTTTTAATTACAGTCGTACCTTGGAAGTCGAACAGAATCCATTCCGGAAATCCGTTCAACTTCCAAAACGTTCGAAAATCAAAGTGCAGCTTCTGATTGGCTGCAGGAAACTCCTGCAGCCAATTGGAAGCTGCGGAAGCCCTGTTGGACGTTCAGCTTCCAAAAATGGTTCGCAAACCGGAACAGTCATTTCCGGGTTTGTGGCGTTCGGGAGCCAAAAACTCTCGAGAACTGAGCTGTTCGAAAACCAAGGTACGACTGTACTGGTTCTAACGTACATTCTATGTAAACTGCTTAGAGCTATTGACGATGAAGTGGTATATAATAAATCCTGTTGAAGAAATTAAAATAATGATAAAGTTCTCGTTTGAATGCAGCAAAATGCAGTTCTGCGCTCATTCAGTGTATCTTTTGATTTGCTACCCAGGGGAACAGGGATTTTTGAGGACTCCTCCGTGGCAACGAAGCAGCAGGCATTGCGGCAGGAGCTGACGGAGCTCTCCAAGACTGAGAGGATGCTGGACAAGCTCATCCACGAGTGCACACTTCAGCTGAAGCACCTGACAGATGAAGAAACAAATCAGAGATATCCTTTAGAGGGCCGGCAGGTTCTGGAGAAGTTGGGTGGGAGTCTGGAGAGCTGGCTTCTGTCCTCAGTGAACAATGTGGCTCAATGTGGCTCTCATGAGAATTGTTGGATTCCAGCTTCCATCAGCCCCAGATAGCATGGCGTCAAGGGTGCTTCCCAGCCAAAGGAATACTCATGGCAGATGGTTAATAATAATAATAATAATAATAATAATAATAATAATAAATTTTTATTTATATCCCGCCCTCCCCAGCCGAGGCCGGGCTCAGGGCGGCTAACAACAATAAAAGAATACAACATTCTAAAATCATTTTATTTGAAGACCGTAAGTTTCTCTGTGGGGCATACCAGGAGAGGCAGTCCCGTAGGTACGAGGGTCCTAGGCCGTATAGGGCTTTAAAGGTTAAAACCAGCACCTTAAACCTGATCCTGTACTCCACTGGGAGCCAGTGCAGCTGGTATAGCACTGGGTGAATGTGATCTCGCAGCGAGGACCCCATAAGGAGTCTTGCTGCGGCATTCTGCACCCGCTGGAGTTTCTGGGTCAGTCTCAAGGGCAGCCCCACATAGAGCGAGTTACAATTATCTAATCTGGAGGTGACCATCGCGTGGATTAAGCCTTTATTGTCAAAGATAACACAGTCACTTCTACAGCTCTGGATACCTATGCACCCCAATCCAGTTATTCCCGGGTCCTCACTCTATAGAGCAGTAGCATCAACATAGGTCCACTCCCCTCCACCAGTTTATATATCCCCCGGTGGGCTGCATGCATGCAGCCAGAGACTGTGCCTGTGTGGCAACTTCCTCTGCTCCTCCCTTTTCAGTTCCCTCCTGGTTCTAGGGACAGTGGTGCAGGAGAGGGTGGGGAAGCACCTGGCCCTTCACTTGCCTGATCTGCCTCTTCCTTGTCTTCCGACCCATCTTGTGCTCCACCCTCCAGCACTGAAGTTTCCCCTGCCTCTTGTTTCTTGCCTCCTGGCTGGTACAGGTGCCCACAGATCACTGTGTCACTCTCCTGCTAGTACTCCCTAATGCATTGCCAGGCATGATGGGAGTTGGAGTCACGTTACATCTAGAGAACACCATGTTGGCTTACCTCTGCCTGAGCTGATTCTGGGTATGGGTGCCTGGTGTTTTCTTTAACTTCTGCCCTGCCCTACGCTAGCATATGTCACGTATCAGGATATCCGTGCCATCAGCAACTTCAACGAGCAGACGGTGATTGTGGTCAGAGCCCCACCAGAAACCCGGCTGGAGGTGCCAGATGTTTGCGAGGTGAGACTGTAAGACTGGGTTGCGGGGCAAGAGTATAAATAATGTAAGAAGAGCGTGCTGGATCAGACCAATGTCCCATCTAGTCCAGCATCTTATTTTCAGTGGCCCCACCAGTTGCCCATGGGAAAGCTCTCCGGCAGACCTGAGCAGTTTCCAGCAACTGATATTCAGAAGCATCCTGCCTCCAGCTGTGGGGCTAGAGATATCCCTCAGGGCCAGTAGCCATCAATTGCCTTGTCCTTTATGAATTTGTTAAGCCCTATTTTCTTTCTTTCTTTTATTAACGTTCTTATGTCACGTATGTATACATTATCATATTACATTACAGGGCATATTATAATATAATTTCCAACATGCATACAAAGTTTATATACCAAATTTATGTACCTAAAGATAGAAAAAAGAAAAAAGGACATAAAGTCATTTCAAAATAATATTTGTACCAACACTACGGACTTCCTGTCAGTCTCGTTGTATATTTTTTTTTTAACAAAATGAATGCACTCTTATTATTGTATATTTCTTTACATTTTATCTAATACATTCCTATATCAATATATACCCTCAATCTTGTTTCTCAACTCAATTTCTCTCCAACGTCAATCGAATGCTAGCATAGATAGCGAACCTTTACTATATTTTTGAACATATATCTTATATCTATCCCATTTTTCCATAAATTTTTGTTTTGAATTTCCTCTCAGGCTATTTGTCAACTGCTCCATTTCAGCAAATTCTTGTAGTTTATTATGCCAGTCTATTATTGTCTGGGGTTAGGGCAAATCCACAGGTTAGGGGGCGCAAATCCACGGGTTAGGGGGCGCAAATTACTTGCCTTGCCCCGGGTGCTGACAACCCACGCTACGCCACTGTTCCTTCCACACCTTTGTCACCAAAGTCCGGGCTGCAGCCATTGCATATAAAAATACCTCTCTAAAGGCCTTCAGGATGTCCCTGCCAACAATACTTGTTAAGCCCGATTTTCAAGCCATCCAAGTTGATGGCCCCCACTGGCTCCTGTTTTTTTGCCTGCCTCTTGGTAGCATTAGAATACTAGAATTGTAGAGTTGCAAGGGACCCTGTGGGTCATCTAGTCCAACCCCCTGTAATGCAGAAATCTCAACTAAAGCATCTGTGACAGGTGGCCAGCCAAGCTCTGCTTGGAAACCTCCAGTGAGGGAAGAGTCCACCACCTCCCAAGGAAGTCTATTCCACTGTCAAATAGCTCTTACCGTCAGAAAGTTCTTCCTGTGTTTAGTAGGAATCTCCTTTCCTGTAACTCAAAGAGTGGCTTCACAAGATGAGAGCTAGCATAGCATTGGCGGCTAAGAGACTCCTCTGTGCATCGGGGAGTCCTGGGTTCAAATCCCACATCTGTCATGAACTTACAAGGTGACCCATAGGCATGCCACTTTTATTTCAGCCTCAGTTTCTCTTCCTTCCCTCTGTAAATGGAATATCATAATAATAATGCTCGCCTACATTGCGGCATAGGAGGGACCAGGTGGTGCTGTGGGTTAAACCACAGAGCCTAGGACTTGCCGATCAGAAGGTCGGCGGTTCGAATCCCCGCGACGGGGTGAGCTCCCGTTGCTCGGTCCCTGCTCCTGCCAACCTAGCAGTTTGAAAGCACGTCAAAGTGCAAGTAGATAAATAGGTACCGCTCCGGTGGGAAGGTAAACGGCATTTCCGTGCGCTGCCCTGGTTCGCCAGAAGTGGCTTAGTCATGCTGGCCACATGACCCGGAAGCTGTACACCGGCTCCCTCGGCCAATAAAGCGAGATGAGTGCCGCAACCCCAGAGTCGGTCACGACTGGACCTAATGGTCAGGGGTTCCTTTACCTTTACTTTACATTGCGGCATGGACCCTATTACCATGTTATTGACAGCTTTGTAGAGCCCTGTTTCCTAAGTAAAACATACCCTGGTAGAACATAGGAAACTGCCTTGAACTGCCTATTTGTCCAACTACCCTAATGCTGTCCACTCTGACTAGCAGCTTCTTCCTGGGTATTTAAGCCTTCCCCATGTAATGTGGCCTCCTGGGGGAGGGGTGTGTGTGATAGCTTACCTTCCTAGCCTCTGCCCCAGATCTCAGTGAGTTGTGTTTGGCTTGGTAGGTGACAGGTTGTTCTCTAGTCTCACACCGCTTTCCTCTTTTCTGGCCAGGAGAACGTCCAGCTGCATCTGAAAAGCAACAACGGCCCCATCGAGGTATACCTCTGTCCTGAGGAAATCCTGGAGGAGAGCCCAGCCAAGGAAGGCAGCTTCCCTGCTCCTGCTCCAGCACCCCAGGAGAGCAGCAACCCCCCGACAGTGAAAGGTAAAATCTCAAGGGTCTGGATAACCAATGCCTTGGCACTTTTGCACCAGTGGATTGTATTTTGGTTTCTGCAAGGTGTCTCTGCAGGACCCCCCCCCCCAACTTTCCAGCAATGCTCTCCAAACTGGTTTATTTGCTTGTCTCGGGGCAGAGCGCCCTGGGCCAAAGCATCCTTCCTTGGGTCCCTTCCTGCTTAACCCGGCAGCAGCACCCAGTAGTTGGGTCTTGTGGCCACCTTTTTCATTTCCTACAATGCCCTACACTCTCGCACCACCCCAGAGCCTTGTGAGGAATTTAAACAGCAGCTCCTGAAACTGCTGGGATGCTAAACAAGACAAGGCAAGGAGATGGGTTAGGAGTCTCCAAGGAACTCTTGCCTGATATCAGAATCCGCATACAAAGTCAGACAGTCTAGAGATCTGGGAATCCAGATGGACACAGAGCCAAGGGTCCAGATGGAGAGCAGGAAGCAGCAAGGTATGGCCGGGAACTACAAGCATTGTTTCTAGCATCTGACTGTTGCTGGAAGCTCTGCTTCAGAAGGCTGAAGCCAGCTGGTTCTCAGCAGTGCCTTCTCTGAGTCCTTGAAGGCTGATCAGCTGCTGGTGGAGTCACTCTGCCTTCTCCCCCTTCAGGCTGCTGTTCAGCAGGTAAGGCTGACTACTGGCCCATGACAATTACTGCCTCCGATCGTGGAGACAGAACATAGCCATCATAGTCCATAGCCATGAACTTGTCCTCCTGTGTATTAGTCTGATCCTCCATCCAAGTTGGTGGCCATCCTTGCCTGCTGTGGGTCAGTGCCATCATTTATGTGCTGCAGAAAGAAGGTCTTTTATTTGTCCTGAATCTTCAGCTTCACTGGATGTCCACGAGTGTCTTGAGAGAGGGAGAAAGCCTTTTCGCTCCCCATTTTCTCCATGCAATGCACAATTGTATAAACTTTTCTCATGTCACCTCTTGCCTAAAAAAGCCCCCAGTGCTGTGACCCTTCCTCATAGGGACATTGTTCCAACCCCTTGAAACTGTTGGGGCTCCCTGCCTTCTGCTCCTCCCAATAATAATAATAATAATAATAATTTTTTATTTATACCCTGCCCTTCTCGGTTCAAAAACCGGGCTCAGGGCAGCTAACAACAAATTTAAAACACTTAATTGTAAAAGCAGTATAAAAACATGAATAACAATAAAATTCAAAATTCAGAAATCAATTTAGGGGAATAAGCATTAGATAATCCCCAGGGCTAGCTGGCTGAATTGGTCCTACTTGGGCCAGCGAGGAGGCCAGGGGAGAATTAGCTGTGGGGTCTCAGAGCAGGTAGTCTTCATAAAAGGGGAGGGGGAGGGAAGAGAAGGAAAATAAAAGATCAGGCTGAGTTCAAATTAAAGGCCAGGTGGAATAGCTCTGTCTTACAGGCCCGGTGAAAGGAGGTTAAATCCTGTAGGGCCCTAGTCTCATGGGACAGAGCATTCCACCAGGTCGGAGCCATCACTGAAAAGGCCCTTCTCCTAGTGGGTACCAGCCACCACTCCTCCCTTCTCTTTGTGTCTTTCCCCAGTCGAGACCGTGAAGACTGAGCTGCCCAGCTGCCTGATGGAGGGGGAAGACGGCTTCCTGGAACTGCCCCACCACCTCCTGCAACAGACCGAGGACCAACTACCTTCCGCTTCCTATGGTGACGCGGGGCCCTTTGTCACCTTCTCCCCTCCCCTCGACCAAGAGGACTACCTGTGGGGGCTGGAGGAGGGCGAGGGCGTCAGTGACTTATTTGAGGCCTACGACTTGGGCGACCTGCTAAAGAACTGAGCCCCCAGGATCCCCAGGCCCTTCTCATGGTGCTAATTCCCTCCACTCCAGAGCCTCGGGGCTTTTCTGCCTTGGGGCACCTGCTTGCATTTGGGCCCAGCGGAACCTGGCTGCCAAGACCCCCACAAGCAGCTCTCCAAGAGATCCTTATTCATCTCAGGCTTTTCTGAAACCGTCATGGACGTTGTGCGTGACACTCCCCCCCCCTTGATGCAATGAGAAGTGCCAACAGCTGCCATGGGGGGACCCCCCTCCCACCCCTTTTCCTTCTGCAGAGGTTGAAAGCTGGATGATTATCCCTCCGCTCCACTCGTGGTGCCAGCAGCTATAATAGCCCATGTCTGTGACTTTCCTAGGGACCCTTGAAACCTTAACCCCATGATGCTTCCTTGTTTTGCTCCAATTTCTCTCCGAGGCAGAAATGGTCCATTTAGGGCAGTATTGGTAGCACCAGGTGTGATTCTGGCTGGCAAAGCAACTGCGCTAATCCCAGCAGCAGGAGATGTGCAAGTGAGCCCTTTTCCTTGGCTATGGCACCCTGAAATTATGGGCCAATCTACCGGGAGAAGTAATGTTTTTAACAACTGCTTGGCACAGGGTACTCTCCTGCTACTGCTGCGATTCCTCTCCAAGTATCAGTCCTGTGGCATGATGTGTCTGAGCTAAAAGCCCATCCTGGTGAAGCCGATTAAACTTGAAACTTCCTTTCCAGTGCACTCTGGTATGAAGCTGCAAGGTCGCATGCTTCCTCCTGAGAATGCGCCATGTGATGCTCTAAATCTGAAATGTATGGCTGGGGAACCTGTTGGACTGCAGCTCCCATCATTCCAGGCTGGCTGGGGCTGATGGGACTTGTTGTTGAACACTGGGAGGACCACAGGTTCTCTACTGTATCAGGAGGGTAGGGGAAGGTTTTCTTTGTCTCTTATGGTAGCTAGAACAAGGTGAGGTTGGCTTATTTTTTGCAGGCTGAGTTCTAAGCAAGCCGTGCACATGCCTTGCTAAGACGTCTATGGAGAGGCTAAGCTGCACTTTTTGGACTTAAACCATGCAAAGTGATCTGTCCTCTTCATTTCCAAGGGTAGCCTCATCCTTGGAAATGGAGCCATTTTCTGGTTGGCAGAACCCTCTCCTTGCTTCAGACAGTTCTGCCTTGGGCAAAGCATTCTTTCTTCTGCTAGAGTTGTCTGACTCCTCCAGACGTTGTCAGACTCCAACTCCCACCAGCCCCGATCAGCAGTGTTATTGATGAGGGATGATGGGAGTTGGAGTCCCAGCAACATCCAGAAGGCCAGAGGATTCCACCCCCGTCCCAAATTTAGGTACACCAGAGGATGTAATCTCTCATCATTCATAATCGCCAGATGTAGTAGCTCACCTTCTTTGCGGTGTTGGAGGAACTCAGCTGGAAAGATTGGAACTCTTAAAGCAGGGATTGGGGTACCTTTAGCCCTCCAGAGGTTGTTGGACTCCCAAATCTGGAGAGGACTGCAGATTCCCCAACTCTGCCTTATTAGTTCAGTTCGATTTTAATCTTCAACCTCACCATTGTCACCAAATCCTCCTACCTAACAGAGCCTTATTTCTTTGTATTGGGGCTCGTCATCTTTGGGTATCAAAGGTGGCTGTCCAGTTCCTTAATTTGGCTTAGTAAGTGAGTGAGCAAGGCCTTTTCCTAAGCTTGTCCCATCCATGACCAAGAAATATAAAACAGGGAAGCTCTTTTGGCCGGACCCATTGCTGTGGGAGCCTAGGAAGCTTTGGAGTTGCATAGAATTTGTCTGGCAAGCACAAAACCTTGCTGGTTCTTCTTGCTGTGTTCATTGCCCTCTAAAAGTTGATGTCCCGCCGGTTCTTGTTTTTTTTAATATCCTTGCAGAGCTAGACAAGACACAGACCAGTCCCTGAAAAGACCATCTTTCTATTCTCCCCAGAAACGTTTAGTGAAAGTCTCTGAACATCACATTATGTGGGGAGCTTTCCCACCTTCGCTTCATGCATTGTCAGCTGCGAGTGTAAAATAGCAGCATGATGAACCATCAAGCCCAAGCATCCAGTTTCTCTAGATCAGTGTTTCCCAACCTTGTGCCTCCAGCTGTTTTTGAACTACAACTCCCATCATCCCTGACTAGCAAGACCAGTGGCAAGGGATGATGGGAATTGTAGTCCAAAAACAGCTGGAGGCACAAGGTTGGGAAACACTGCTCTAGATGATCTATGAGAGAAAGTTGGGGTGCAATTTAGATGCATCATTCTTGATGACTGACCTTGCTGTCTCGATCTGGTGGGAGCGGTGGTCTCAAAGCATCTGGAATGGCCACAGGTCCCCCATCTCTGCTATAGGAGATGCATACTTTCTCAGGGAACAATGGTTTCATTTGTTCTGATGCTCCTGACCAAATAACATGCTGCCTTTGGAGGTGCTGCTGCTCTGAACTGTTCCTTGTCTCTCTCTCTGCCTCTCTCTCTTTGTCTATAACACACACACACACACAGAGAGAGAGAGAGAGAGAGAGATTGAGAGAGAGAGGTGGAATGAATCGAGAGTCTAGGAACCAAACGTTTTGCTTGGGTATTTATGGTAAGTGACAGTGCCTGACCGTGGAGATTTGGAAGCACTCCTCCTTGCAGCCTCATTTACTCTGAATCCAGGATTGCAGGTGTAGTCCTTTGCTTGGAGGCCTGTCACCATGAGTGCCATTCATTCTAGAGAGCTGTTCAGGGAGAACTGGGCAGTTGAACTTACAGTAGAGGGTACACAGCCATCCGTCAACATGTCTGGTGCCTACCTGATCTTCAAAGCACAAATTGCATCCCAATTTGAACAGATCCTCAATCTCACATACTCCTTGTCCTCATGGTGCATGACACCAAATTCCACGAATAAGTTAAGCTGGTCTTTAAATCATAGGATTTGAGCCATGGGTTTGCCTCCTGATGATCACTTCTTCCATGGCTGAATTAGGCTTAGTTTTTACTGGGGCAGCAAACCTGCATCAGGTCTATAGCACTTCAGGCTGCAGGAGGAACTTGCATAATACATATTGTTCTCCTGTGTTTATTTTTAAAAGTTCCTGCATGTGGAAAATGGGATGTTAAGGGTGTGGGCCTGCCCTTTTCTTCTGGCATGCTAATTTTCTGCTTTCAAAGACTTGTTTTGTTGTTGGAGCATTATGTCATGGCAGTCCCCACCAGCAGTTTGCCATGTTGAAATCTAGGCGGATGGAAGTGCAATACCTCAGTAAGGACTAGGATTTTGTCGTAGCACTAAATAATCAAGCAATAGCGTGAAGGTGTGGATTGCAAGAAAGTGAGACTGACTAGTTGCTGCCTTGGACCGTGTGGCCTGCTGCTGATATCTGCTGTTTTCCACTAGCAGGGATCAGCTTGACACAGTCCCTGCACGACAACAAGTGTGTTGAGTGAATGCAGCCCTCCTTTGCAAAACATCTTTTCCTGATACAGCACATTAAAATATCTGGAAAGTGTTCCATTCCCTAATTCATTAGGGAAACATAAAAGGGTGAAAATTGTGCTTTGAGGAGAAGATTTCATGTACATTATTTATCTTTTTCAGTGAGTTGTTTGTTCCCTGCAGCTACTGTAAAGAAAGAAAGAAAGAAAGAAAGAAAGAAAGAAAGAAAGAAAGAAAGAAAGATAAGGTGACCCAGCCAATCAGGGCTTACTTTGCATTTTGAAATCAAACCATCATGTGACCAAATACACCAGTTGCGTGGAACACCGTTCAATTCTTAGTACCCTCCCAAATTAATGGGACACAGAGCATGAATTCATCCTGGATTCAACCACTGGGTTGCCAGTTGCCAACCTCACTTTAAACTCTGGTAGCGCTTTAATATGGTATAGAATATTTTGAGGTTTGTCTGGAAAGCTGGGGTGGGGTGGGGAATGGGCATGAAAGCCTTGGGTAAGAAATGCCACAGTGCTATTTTTTTGCGGGGGGGGGGTAGTCATTCCTTTTCTGCGACAGAAGGACACTTAAGGGCTATCTGTTATATACCTGTTTGAAAATAAGCTTTTGGAACTGAATTGTCTTAAGTGATTTATTTGCATAGACGAGGTTCTTTACTTTGTACATAGCAAAATGAGTTGTGAGTTTGGGGCTTCATCAACCCTTCTGGGATACCAAATTTCTGCAGCATTCAGTTGCCTGCAATTGTTTCGAAACGTGGTTTGGTGTAGACCTGGCACCTTCCAGGTGTTTTGAACTACCAGCACAGTTGTTGTCCAAAACATCTGGAGTGCACCAGGTTGGGGGAGGCTGTTTTGTAGAATAATTATTTCTCCGTGTTCCTGTTTCACTGGATGGTGTTGGTTTTTTTAAAACCAGTTTCTGAATCTAGATTGCAATACGGGTTGAGCATGCGCCAACAATGAAATCGCAGCTCAACTTGAGTCTTAATTCACCATATGTTCAGAGAAGAGGGAGGCCTGTTTTGATTCTTCAGTGCTTCCCCCTGTGTGCAAGGCCTTTAACATGTTATTTGGGCCCAACGTTGTCCCTGGTCCTGTCTTAAATATTGTAAAAAGTTGTATATAATCATTGCACTGTATTTATAATGGAATCCCTCTTTGACACTGTTCTGCTGTGTGGCTTTTGTTTGGGACTGAGTATTTAAAGACTTCTAGGTTTTCTGTAACTTTTGGCCTGGTGGGTGGTATGTGAGGGTTTTGTTTTGTTTTGTTCTAAACTTGAGGCACTTGGTGATGTGTGTTTTGTGAACAACAGCAAAAGATGAAATAAAATGTTTGAACCAAGCAGGGACCTATTTTGAGTTCTATTTCCATGGTCATTAGGGTTTTTTTTTGTATTTTGTTGTGGGGGAGAGGGTAGATATTTCTAAGCATGCCAGACTAGGACCTGGGAGACCAGGGTTCAGATCCCCACTCGGCCATGAAGCTCGTTGGGCGACTTTAGGCCAGTCACAACCGCTCAGCCTAACCCACCTCACAGGGTTGCTGTGGGAATTAAATGAGGAGGGAGAGAACCATGTGGGCCACCTTGAGACTCCATGGAAATAAAGGTGGGAGATAAATGCAACCAATAAAGAAATGCATTCCTATGTCCCAAACTTTTAACTCAGGGTTCACTAACATGATGCCTTCAGGCATCAGTGTAACTCCGGTGAAGGTAAAGGGACCCCTGACCATTAGGTCCAGTCGTGGCCAACTCTGGGGTTGCGGCACTCATCTCGCTTTATTGGCTGAGGGAGCCGGCGTACAGCTTCTGAGTCATGTGGCAAGCATGACTAAGCCACTTCTGGCGAACCAGAGCAGTGCACAGAAACGCCGTTTACCTTTCCGCCGGAGTGGTACCTATTTATCTACTTGCACTTTGACGTGCTTTCGAACTGCTAGGTTGGCAAGAGCAGGGACTGAGCAACAGGAGCTTACCCCATTGCAGGGATTTGAACCGCCAACCTTCTGATCAGCAAGTCCTAGGCTCTGTGGTTTAACCAAGAGTGCCACCCTCGTCCCTATGTAACTCCTGTAGGTCTCTGTAAATGCTAAAAAAATCCGCAATACATGAAAGACTGTTGGCTCCTCCTGTTCAGTTCCTGGTTGCAGTGGCTCAGCCTCTCCTACACTGAACCAACCCCATTAAACATGCCCACACATTGTGGGACGCTGACATTTGATGACCACCCTCCCATTGCAAACAGAGGATAGGTGCAAATAATTTCTTTCCATGAACTGATGTGATAGTAATTGATATAGGTGCCTTTCCCACCCCCCATTTATTTGGGGTGGGGCAGCATGCTGGCACCATTTTGCAGTCCTGCCTCCTGTTCTGCTCTTAAATGTGGCAACCATTATGCCACACTTCCCCACAGGCAGCCATGTTGTGATCTGGGACGCTCCCTGTGGCTGCCATTTTGTGATTGCCACCCATAGCGCTAACTCGCTCGCTGCTTTTGCAGGAGCTGCTGGGCCGAGAACAGAAATCTTCAGCGTGTGTCCCTTGCCCATACGGCAAGCCACCAGGACCGCTGTTTCCTGGTTAGCCGACTGTTTTCAATGCCATTTCCAGGCGCCTGCCTCGCTAGAGTAGCCATTAGGTCCTCCTGGTCGGGAAACGTTTAACCAGGCTTCCTATTTGGCTGGGACTAGTAGTGGCTGGTTACCATTGGGGCAGAAGGCAGGGAACCCAAATAGGCAGTAAACAGCTAGAGGCAATGACCGGGAGAGCCAATTCATCCTCTCTGCTGATTTTCCTACAGGGCAACACTGACAGTGTGTTCAGACACAGGGATTGTTCCATTAGCTTATCTGATTAGAAACACAAGAATTAATGATCCTTTTAGACAGCCACAGCCAATCAGAAGGTCAGCAGTTCGAATCCCCGCGACGGGGTGAGCTCCCGTTGCTCGGTCCCTGCTCCTGCCAACCTAGCAGTTCGAAAGCACAAAAGTGCAAGTAGATAAATAGGTACCGCTCCAGTGGGAAAGTAAACGGCGTTTCCATGTGCTGCTCTGGTTCGCCAGAAGCAGCTTAGTCATGCTGGCCACATGACCCAGAAGCTGTACGTCAGCTCCCTCGGCCAATAAAGCGAGATGAGCACCGCAACCCCAGAGTCGTCCTTGACTGGACCTAATGGTCAGGGGTCCCTTTACCTTTTACCTGTTACCTTATGGGACTGTGGCTTTTGAATCAATATACCACCATGTTGCCACCCACCTTCCATGCACATGTGCACTTTCATTCCCTCATAATTCACTCATGGAAATGCCGGAAAAAGAGCTGTAGGCCGGAATACCGCTCTGAATTTAGTTCCACAATTTTCTGTCCCACCGTAAGCAAGTATCACAAACAAGTGGGGAACTTCCATGCTGGATTCTGCTGGGTTCCCAGAAGCGACTTTTTTTACGTTGTGTGAAAGATCACAAAACGTGAAAATTTATCAGGAAAATGGAATAAAGTGCTGCCTGAATGCCGCCTGAGACGAAGCTGGCAGTCAAAGCCACTTTCAAGTCCACAGAATCCTGAACAAGA